TCAACTAGAAATGTCCACTTAGGATGAAGCAGAACCACTGCAACACAGTACCAATTTCCAACCCTTGCAGGTGATTCCAAAGGATATTATGGTCAAATGCAACTAAAAGATCAAGCAGGACACAGAAGGGCATATTAAACCATATCTAGGTCCCATCACAAGTCATCTATAAGAGTGACCGATGAAGCTCATTCCATGCCTAGGCCTGAACCCAGATAGAAAAGAGTCTAAATAACCTACTTTGTTCAGGGCCCTTAATAATTGCCACCCAACCATCTTCTCAACAGCCTTCCACAAAAAAGGAAGACTGGAGACTGGTCAATAGTTGTCCAGAATAACTGGCTCAACCTCTTAAAATGTGGGCATGCCACCACCTCTTTCAAAGCAGCAGCACTACTCCTACCTCAGATAGACATTCATGACACTCTAAAAACAAATCCCTGTCCTTTAACAGCTTGCACAATGCTAGTGAAAGTGGTCGTCCACACGTTCCCTTTCTCCCTTCTTTTAAAAAATGCTACGAAATGTCTGAGAAGGGAAATATCACAAAATGTTGATCTTTACTTCTTTTCAGGGATATTGTTTTCCCTCCAACAGCTGGCACCACAGCCCAGAGCTCCCTGACCTTTTGTCTTATGCCAGATCTTTGTGTCTATATTTGAATACAACAAATAGGATTTATAATTTATATAAAATAAGTGGTAAATGAAGGAAATTGAGAAGACAACATGGTAAGATTACAAAACCTTATCACAAGTCTTACGTCATCTAATTCTGATTCTTTATTGCCATCTTTCTTTGTTAACTTGTCAGGCCTTTCAAATGGTTTTGGAGATGGCAATAAAGAATCAGAATTAGATGACTTCTTTGTTAACTTGTCAGGCCTTTCAAATGGTTTTGGAGATGGCAATAAAGAATCAGAATTAGATGACTTCTTTGTTAACTTGTCAGGCCTTTCAAATGGTTTTGGAGATGGCAATAAAGAATCAGAATTAGATGACTTCTTTGTTAACTTGTCAGGCCTTTCAAATGGTTTTGGAGATGGCAATAAAGAATCAGAATTAGATGACTTCTTTGTTAACTTGTCAGGCCTTTCAAATGGTTTTGGAGATGGCAATAAAGAATCAGAATTAGATGACTTCTTTGTTAACTTGTCAGGCCTTTCAAATGGTTTTGGAGATGGCAATAAAGAATCAGAATTAGATGACTTCTTTGTTAACTTGTCAGGCCTTTCAAATGGTTTTGGAGATGGCAATAAAGAATCAGAATTAGATGACTTCTTTGTTAACTTGTCAGGCCTTTCAAATGGTTTTGGAGATGGCAATAAAGAATCAGAATTAGATGACTTCTTTGTTAACTTGTCAGGCCTTTCAAATGGTTTTGGAGATGGCAATAAAGAATCAGAATTAGATGACTTCTTTGTTAACTTGTCAGGCCTTTCAAATGGTTTTGGAGATGGCAATAAAGAATCAGAATTAGATGACTTCTTTGTTAACTTGTCAGGCCTTTCAAATGGTTTTGGAGATGGCAATAAAGAATCAGAATTAGATGACCAATAGGGTTGTGTTCATGTCATATTTATAGTTACCAGCTGGCAGCCCAGACAGGAATTGTTTCAATTCTAATTCAGGAATTCACAGTAACATAGGACACTTTTTAAAGCACAGATGCTGAAATTTCAAACTACATCCTATAAACTGAATCCTGAAATACTTTTCAATTTTTGAAACTGCCTGCAATCCCTGGCTGAGGAAATGGGGACACAATGTTCATTAATTTCTTCCTATGCCCTCTTGTGCCATTTACCACATTGTTCCTGCATCTGCCAACTTTCTAGAATAGATTTTCTTAGCATAGCTAGAAAGATGTTGCCTTGTTTATGAGAACTCAAAATCCAGAGCCTTATACCAAGGATTAACAGGCAAAACTGCAGAGGTCTTTCTCTGTTTATTAGTCCATAAATTCATGCAATACTGGGGGAATTTAATTTTCTAAATTTAACTTTTGGGTTTGGGTTTGTTATGGATGCCATCTAGAGT